CCCCAGGCCGGTGACAGGAAGTGCACATCTGAACAGGAAATCAGCACATGAGATAAAAAAGCTGTATGTTCATTCTCTATTTTCAGCCTAAAGGAAGAACTGAATTGTATGAGAGCTGCTGGTCTGGATGCTTACTAGTTTATTTCCTCTTTTTATCTCCTTCTTTACGTCTTCAATAGAAAAGCCTCCAATGTTTTCACTGTCTGAGTGAGATGTGACCAAGGCTGATGAAAAAAGCTGAGTAAAACAATCAAGTGTCAAATGTTAGATATACAAGCTGTCAAATACATACGTTGTATACTTATTTTTTATATATACTATACCAATATTTTATAACATCTTGTCAATGCACTATTCATATTCCCTAAGATTATTTTTGTGAAACTAGGAAAATAAATACATGTATGAATCAGAGCTTTATTCACCCATTTTAGCACTTATAAAAGAAGGCAAGCTAATGGCCAGCTGATGTACCATGCACTTGTGATGGGCTGCCACCCTGTGGTTCTCAGACACCAGTAATTGTCCACACTCTTTGTCCCGGTTGGTTCTACAGAAGGCACATTTTCGAAGACGTGTTGAAGCTCCTTTTCTCTGACCTGACATGACCAGTTTTCACACACTCCACCTCTCCTCTGTTTTGAAGACAAGAACATTGTAACTGAACTGCAGTGTACTTGAAGGAAGAGGGAAGATTATTTTTGTGGTTCAGACCTGTGAAAAAATAAGCTTCTAAGCTTTGTGTGAGCGTACAGAGCAACAGATGGCTAAAATGCATGTTAGTATTTTTTTTTAAAGGGGTCATATGATGTCGCTAAAAAGTACATTATTTTGTGTATTTGGTGTAATGAAATGTGTTTATGCGGTTTAAGGTTCAAAAACACATTATTTTCTACATACTGTACATTATTGTTTCTCCTCTATGCTCCGCCTTTCTGAAACGCGTCGATTTTTACAAGGCTTGCGGCAACCACATGTGACGACCCCGGGCTGGAATCTGCTTCATCCACGGTGAAAGCCGATTCGGCGATCCACAGCGCAAAGTTGATGTATTGCCTCAGCGACCAGCACGGATCAGCTGTAGGCATGACGAAGCGGATATCGTCCTCTTTTGGAAGGCCAAACAAAGTAGTATCGCTTTCACAATGAATCACACAGTGCCTTCACTACATGGTGGCGGCAGCAAAAATACTACAGCGAGAATAAAAGTTACGCCTTCTTTCTTTGCATGAACATTTGGGCGGCGTTATGCAAATCTTCCCACATAGGGACGTAGACATGTGGGGCCAGGTTAGAACGAGCCGTTTTAGGTAGGCGTGGTTGACTCTTAACTTTTATAAAGAATATCTCTTTGGATTTGAGACTTTAGTCTTTTCAACAGTACAGATCTTCTTTATGCACCAAGAGCTTGTAACACTCCAAAGAGAAAGGAAAAACTGAAATCGCATCATATGACCCATTTAAAGATTTTTTAAAGACTCCTACATCTGTCATTGAATCACTCTATATGGTAGAAATATAGATTAGACAGATGGTTGTGGTTAGTTTGCTTATGCAATTCTGTTCCATTGAGGTATTTGTTTGGTTTAAAAATTTCCCCAAAAAACAAATACGTCACCAGCATGACATATACTTCCAGATGTCTTTATTACAAAAGAGTCTATAACTATACAATTAATTTATATTTACATTATTTATAAATAAAATAATTTTATTTATTTATATTTACATTATTATTTATAGAAAAATATTTCTAATGAATACTTATTTAAATTATGCATCTACATATAAACACTTATTGGAAAAACAGCGGGTTATAGAATCACACTTTTCCAAATTTTTCAATTTAGAACTATTGAGATACAACCAATTTGAGATTTTAAGCAGCAAGTACAAAAAAATAAAATTAAACTGAGGTCCAGAGCACCCCCAGGGGCCAAAAAGGGTTAAAAGGTGGTCAGATTTTGTTTTACACACAATATTTAAAAAAAAAAAAAAGTAGTTTATTTAAGATACCACTTAAATGTTTAAGACAATTTAACACATTTACCAAAATTTATATAATTATGGTTTCATGCTGCCTTTTAAAGACTTTGAAATCACTACAAAACATTCACTACTAAACACAAGAAAATAAAAAACAAATCTGCATACAGTTTTAAAAGTGATTCTAACAGATAACAATACATTAACATATATCAACATGTCTGTATAACAGCAGGCTTACAAAACATGAGGATATATGGCCGCCTTCATATTGTAGGAGTGGGTCCCTTGGTAAGGGGCTAATCCTGTTTTGGGGTCCATAAGAGTGTGAAAACCCCTTATTTAAACAATTTAAAACTAGATTATATGAAATAAGACCTTACTATAAACAAGCAGTACTAAATAAACTATATAGTTGAACTAAATATTTTCAACAAGTTTATCCCTGGTTGACAGAGAAATCTCTCCTTAAAGGGGTCATATACCACGCCTTCTTTCTTTGCGTGAACATTTGGGCGGCATTATGCTAATATTTCCACATAGTGAGGTAGATATGTGGGGGCGTGTTAGAACGAGCCGTTTTAGGGGGGCGTGGCAGAGTCTTAACTTTGATAAAGAATATCTCTTTGGTTTTGAGACTTTAGTCTTTGCAACTTCAGGGATCTTATCTATGCACAATCAGCTTGTAACACTCCAAAGAGAAAGGAAAACTTGAAATCGCATCATATGACCCCTTTAATGTTCTAGGAATCTAGTAAGATGGATAGCGTGTCGTTTAGAAACGCGATGGCTTTACCCGCCTTCGCTCGACAGAGGCGCTCCGCTGCCATGATAGCAGAGAAGCGTCGCGGTGCAACACAAACAGCAACGCGCGAGCGAGAGACAGACACTCTGTATCCAACAGAACAGCTGATACAACCTGCTCTTTAGTCTCAACGAACCCCTCTAAAACGCACAAGGAAAAACACAGCATCCCTCGCAACGTTTTCATAAATAAGGGAGGAGGAGGATATACAGGCCCGCGACAAAGGTCTTGTTTCGCTCATAACAAAAACTCTTTCACTTTCCAGTGTATATGAACTACTATAAGACTGTCAAATCTGGTGCCCCCCTTAAGATGAAATAAAGATGTGTATATCTATATAAGTGTACCGCATTAAGGCCCACATTATATGGTGGCTACAACAATACTGACGAGCACAAATGTGCGTAAAAAACAATCTGAACTTCTGGGGATAACCGTAAAGCATTATTTGGTTTTTATAACATTGTTCGCCGCGGGATTATTTCCCCTGCTTCACATGTGGAGACCCCCGCCATACGAAATGTATTTACATATCGCAGCAAAAAGACCTAGCTAGTCCCGACAACTGTTCCACTCATCCCGTCCCTTTTCTAGCTCTAAAGCTGTACATTGCAGTGTCTGTGTGACATATTGGAAGCTCTTACCGCTGCTGTGCTGAATGGGGGATAGATTTAGAGCGCGTGCTCTCGCTCTTCCTCTCGCTAAGCATTGAGTGCGCTCGCGTGACGTCGCTCACTGCAAAAAGCATGTTTGTCCGACATTGAAGCAAACGGGCACGCCCCTTACGTACTGTGGTCACAGTCAAGATAGCTTGAGGAATAGGCCTAGACGAGCAAATATAGAGAGGGGTAGAATTTTAACGATTATTTAAACTTCATAGTTATTATCAGTGTTGGGGGTAACGCATTACAAGTAAAGCGAGTTACGTAATCAGATTACTTTTTTCAAGTAACTAGTAAAGTAACGCATTACTTTTTAATTGACAAGAGAATATATGAGTTACTTTTTCAAGTAATCAGATTACTTTTTTCAAGTAACTAGTAAAGTAACGCATTACTTTTTAATTGTAATTGACAAGAGAATATATGAGCTACTTTTTCATATAACGCAAGTTACCTTTTTATCCAATTTATTGATTGACAGCTCTCCTGTCCCCATGTTGAGAGAAATCAGAAGATGTCACAGTAGTTCTAAAATAAATATGAATATGCATTAATTCATCTCACTCACTCACAAAAAAAAAAACACAGATTCAGTATTCCTCAAAATGAATAAAAATAATGCAACTCAGAATATGACGCAAACCTGCAATAATTAAATGTTAAACAACACAAATATCCTTTATGTATTTAATCCCATTCTACTTGCTTCTGACCTTCGATGATCCAGTTCAACCGTACTAATAAACACAAATTACTCTAGACAAACATTTGTGTGTTGAAATGTCTTCTTCTGCATTCTACTGAACGGACGTAATTTTACTTTCCCTTCAGCTTGAGGCTTATTCTTTTTTTATGGAGTAACGCAATATTGTAATGCATTACTTTTAAAAGTAACTTTCCCCAACACTGGTTATTATGGTTATCCTATTTGGGGTGAACAAGCCTTAAAACATGAAAATAACTTTTGAGATTAAAATGATATGCACTTACATGAAGTGAACATAGTAGTAGTCTTCTAGAAAAAGATGCATTATTTTACATGGAGCGGGTCAGTCCTTCATGGGTGCAGCCATGTTGATCACATGACCAACTGACTACTATTACTACTGATGTTTACTTTATATAACACTTTTAGAAAGTGCTCAAGGTGGCTTTAAAGTACACCGGAACAAGCTAACACAACAATATAAATCCAATATGAGTCCAAACAGAATGGGCACGAGTGGAAAAAAACAAGTGACTTAAAAATTACGAACCGTGTGTTTTGGGATGCTAATATTAATTAATTAAAAAATAGTAGTCAGGGGCCCTATGGTGGTCAGCTTGTGCTGTATGCAACAAGGGCCCCGGTGTTTAGCTTACTTTAGGCTTCGGAGGCCTCTGAGTTCTGGCCTGGTCCATAATACAGCTTTGCTGTCAGTGGTTTTGTTGCCTCAATTCATCGTCATTTAATTCGATTTCTGTTCAGGGTGTACGCCGCAGCGAGTGTTCTGATTGGTCAGCGTTTACGTCAATTAAAAAAAGGGGCGTTCAAAAACTCTCTTCAACTTCCCTGATAAAGTAAAGCGGCAGACGCTTGAAGTGTACGAGCGACAAACTACTCCTAAATTAATCGCAGTTACTAACACAAGAATTATCTCCTTTTGGGGGAGATAAATAGTATGTTCGACATAGTTGAACTGGATTAATAACTCCATATTTAGCTGCTCACAAGTCGCTCTAGCTTACTTTTCTCCTCATCGCGTGTGTGGACGTTTTGAGTCTGGTGAGTGCGGTGAGTGTCTCTGCCTTCCTTCCACCTCCAGCTAACACACATCCACTTAGCCTGACATGTTGCCTGTCATTTTTTCACTCTAGATAGCACTTCAAATATACATTTCAACTGGGTTTTATGTTAATTTATTGTTTTTTTAAATAGGTTATCTATTATTTGTTTTTCTGTTAAGGTTAAAAGATCAGTTTAAAATGCTAGCAGCTTGATCAACTGTTAAAAATGTCATTGAAATGTTGAAAGGTTCAGCTCTAACTGCGTGTCAAACAGAAACTTTACACGGGTTTAGGAAGACCCATATGATTCAAATCCACTGACAGATTACATGGATAGAAACAAGTTACTAAGTAAGTTATCTAAGTGGTTAGTTTCCTGGTTTGAGTTATTCTTCTAGCTCGTTTGGCCATGATGATCATGCCTGACAGAAGTCAGTTAGCCAACGTGCTAACTTGCATGGCTACATGTCCAGCCAGCTGGAAGATTTAAAAACTGGATTTTATTTCTTCCCGTGAACAGTTGTGTTTGTTCTTATGGGTTCATGTTAAGACCGTATAGGGTGACAAACTACCCAGTAATAAAGTGTCTGTGATGAGTAATATCGAGTTCCTGAGAAGTGTTGATCGATAAGTGCTGGGCGGAGATTAGCTTAGCTCATCAGGATATTAAAGTTAGCTGTTTTTCAAGTTGAATAAAACTGCCTAGTTGCTCATCGAAGTGACTCGTTTAGTACCTTAACCTATTTTGTGTCATGTTTTCACACGTGTTGAACTATCTCTACTATCTCTATCTGTACTTGTCAGTGTTGAGCAAGTTTAGAAGGTGTTTCATAACATGCTTGGGTTATTACTTGTACAGTAATAATACAAACAAACAGTCATAAGGAATGAAGTCTGTAAATATTGTTAATTTAGTGCAATTAAACCAAAAAGCAATGTTGTTTTCAGTATGTCAGAGTACTCTTGACAGAGACCTTTCTCTTAACAAGTGTTTTTGTTCTTTTACAATTGTATTGTTAGCAGTAATAACGGTACAAGGCCTTTTCATTGTATTTAGTGTCTCTGAAGTGAATAAAATGTGTTATGAATAATTTTGTCAATAACTATGACTTCTTCACTCGCTGGTATAATGTTGTACGCTATTTGTTTTTCACCTTTTAAAGGTGAATCATTTCTTGTTCTCCGACGTCCAACGCACATCCCAGCTAAAACCATGCCATTCCCTTTTGGGAAGTCTCAGAAGAGCCCTGCAGAGATTGTGAAGAGTCTGAAGGAGAATGTGGCATACTTGGAGAAGCTGGAGTCCTCTGAAAGCAAGAAATGTGAAAAGGTTGGTCTTTTTTTATGTCAACATCTCGATGCAAATGTTTCAGCAAATTGTGGACTGTGACGGAGTCAGAAAAACTCACTGTTTTTCCTGTAGGTTGCAGAGGAAGTATCAAAAAATCTTGCGTCGTTGAAGGAGGTGCTGTGTGGCACTGGAGACAAGGAGCCTCAGACTGAGGCAGTGGCCCAACTGGCTCAGGAGCTCTACAACACCAACCTCCTCATTTCCCTCATAGCAAACCTACAGAGGATTGATTTCGAGGTGCATATCCTTGCTTTTGAAATGTTTGAAATACAACTACTTCCATCTTGCTGTAATATATATATATTGCTCTGTGCACTAACCACACGTTTGTTTGCTCTCTTTGATTTATAACACATTGTTCACCAAAGGGAAAGAAGGATGTGGTGCATCTGTTTAGCAACATAGTGCGTCGCCAGATTGGCGCTCGCACCCCAACTGTGGAGTACATCTCTTCCCACTCACAGATCCTCTTTATGCTGCTGAAAGGGTGAGTTTCCAGACCCCAGGGCATTGTCATAGATCAACACTTTCAGAAGCCATTGATTAGCCTGGCTTTTCCAGTTGATGTTATGGGAGACTGTGGTTGTATGGTTATTTTAGGACCATCATTTTCCCATTTCCTGTCCACGTGGCTGAGCTGCCAATGGCATTTCACTTTTACAGCACAAACATATCTAGTTATTGACAGTTTGGTGTGATATTATGTTTGAATGATAACTTCTGTGGTTTTATATATATGTATATACAAACAAATGTGGTTCTCTCACGTTAGAGAAATAACAGGGCTTATTTATTTATTTATCTCTTGAACGCAGCTATGAAAGCCCAGAAGTGGCCCTTAACTGTGGCATGATGTTGAGGGAATGTCTGCGTCATGAACCTCTGGCCCGAATCGTTCTGTTCTCTGAGGAGTTCTACTGCTTCTTTCGCTATGTGGAGCTATCTACTTTTGACATTGCCTCTGATGCCTTCTCCTCTTTTAAGGTATGAAATTTACACAAAATATCATCCATTTTGACTTGTAAACTTTGCCTTAGGAACAGTGCACTAATAAATTTATAGCAAAATATTTAATCACATGAGATCTTTATGCAGTAATGCCATAAGACTGTTTAAGGTCATTTTATTTATATTCAATTTAAATGAAACGGTAAAAAATACACTGGTAGGTGTGTACAACAAACTATTATGAAGAGAAAGAAAGGAACAATCCCACACTCTGTCATACTTCGCAAAAACAAACTTTCTTTATTACAATGTTTTGGTTATGTGGCAGAAGCCACAATAGTTTTTTTTTTTTTTTAGTGTGTTAGTGTTAGTTGACGACCCATTTCCAATGGTGTCCATCAATTTGAGCATCTATGGGGTCAACATTTTCAAGCCTCAAAAATTACATAAAGAGATAATAAAAGTAATCCATATGAATCAAACCTTTAATCCAAGTCTTCTGAAGAGACACAATTCAAACATTGATCAACATGCATACATAGAGCACATCAAATACGATAAAGGGAAGATCAAAGGTGTATGCTTGATGCACGAGAACAAATGAGGCAGAATTTGCATAAGAGAATGACAGAATTTAAATTTTTGGTTGACTGCCGCTTCAAATCGAAATTCGAAAACCTTTCAAAAGAGAAAATGACAAAAGTGCATTTACCTTAAGACTTTGTTTTTAGGATCTGCTGACAAGACACAAGATCATGTGTGCAGATTTCTTGGAGACAAATTACGACAGAGTGAGTTACTCTAGTTTCCCAATATTTCATTTGCAAGTGCTTTTGTGTACAAGTGCTTTAGTGGCTGTTCTACTTTATGGACAAATGTATGATGATTGATCATTTCATAAATGTTTTTAGGTGTTCACAGAGTATGAAAAGCTGCTGCATTCTGATAATTATGTCACCAAGCGGCAGTCTCTGAAGGTGAGCATAAACCGCTGTTTTCACAGGGTTGTTTTCAATAATTCAAAGCTGTAATGGTATTCTAACCCTTGAGGTGGAGAATAAGCTACTAGGATCTATACATGAAAGATAGCTGAAGAAAAGAGAGTTCTCAAAAAGATGCTTCTTTGTAACTTGAACAGCCACATTTTAATAGGAAAGCCACATTTTGTCTTCACATAGGAATGTTTTATGACAAACCTTGCTTGGTTTAATAAAAGCAGCAATATGTTGAGTGGTTTGGCTTCATTCTTACCACATAATTTTGTTATTGTTCTTAAGTGAGTTATAAGTGACTATCAAATGATATCCAGCTCTTAGGAGAACTATTACTGGACAGACACAACTTCACAGTCATGACCAAATACATCAGTCGAGCTGAGAACCTAAAGCTGATGATGAACATGTTGAGAGACAACAGCCGTAACACCCAGTTTGAAGCCTTCCATGTCTTTAAGGTATGTGTTTATATGCGCAGCGTTTCATGTAGCATAATATATTTGGATTTGGCACTTCGCTTGTCTACCTTTCCCTCGGTCTACTCCAATTACTTTCCACACTTGGCAGCTGACTGGTTTTCTGTCCCAGTTCTGGCCTCACTTATTGAATGTAAACAGGTCAGGGTCAGTCACTAGTGTGTGAGCTGTAGTTCAGACCGCATGAAGGTGGATTCAGTGACTTGAACTGCACTTTTAACGGGTTTCTTGTGTCCTCTCAGGTGTTTGTGGCTAATCCCAATAAGACACAGCCTGTTCTGGACATCCTCCTCAAGAATCAGTCCAAGCTGGTGGACTTCCTGAACCATTTTCAAACGGACCGCTCTGAAGATGAGCAGTTCTGCGATGAGAAGAACTATCTCACTAAGCAGATCCGGGACCTCAAACGGCCTGCACCTGCAGAGGAGTCTTAATTGGTAGAACCGGGGAACTCGGCTAGTGATGTGGTTTGATTATGTGGGTGAGAATTGGATGGGAGGAACAAAATAAGTCAAAGACAGAAAGAAAGGCTGGCATCACTTGGAATAAATCTCTTTACATCCAACTTCTGAAACAGGTAGAGAAATGCTGTCAGGATGTGCAAACATATGTCTGTCCCTTTACTGCAGGAGGAGCAAGTGGACCCCAAGCACTCCATTTAAACCTATATTTTTAGCACTGCCCTTAAAAAGGAAGTACAGTTGATTTACCTTTTAGATGGTATATATTCGATTTTTAAAAAAAAATATTCAAATTGCTTAGAATGAAAAGTATATTGAAAGCCTGCTCAGGCCTTTTTAAAATTTTTAAAAGTAAGAACATGTATATTGGTACAGGTATGGCTTTGCATATTTGCACTGAATCTGGTAGCTTTGCTCCAGGTATGCCATTAGTGCCACTTCATAAACCAAATATTAACGATAGGTCATACATACAGGACATTATGGGGCCTTCTTTCAGCACACAAATTAATCTGGACATTCTCGCATTTAAACTAGTCAAGGGACATTAAAGCGTTTTATAGCCTGAAAATGTCATGTGGTCAAGTGAAATCTTAGGGGGGGGAAAATAGCCTGTAGAGTTTAGTGGTCATGTTGGATGCTGCACTCAATTTCCATTTTAACTGGGTGCCTTATTTAAGTATGCGGCCCCCCCCCCCCCCCATAGTAAATGCATTTATTAATTTTGGTTAATTTCTATATATACATTTTAAGTTGCATACATGAACATTAGTTGATTTGAATTAATAATAATAATAATTAATAATGAACAATAGCATATTTATTATTAATTAACATTAACTTCATGTTCATGGTACTGAATGCATTAACTAATGTTAACAAATCAAACCTTAGTGTAAAGTGTTTCTGGTATTATTTTGGATGTGGGGCGGTAGTTTGAATTATGCAAGCTCATATAAGACCTTACAACATCCCAAAGTGGTCTTGTAATCCTGAATAAGACGTACAAGGGACACGATTACATTTGTTCAGTTTGCTAATGAGTACACAGAATGTCAGGAGTGTGAGGAAAGCACTTGCCGTGCTTGTGTAAATGAGCCAGTTTGACTAAAAGGTTTTTAATGGATTCATCCAAATGTCAATGTGTGCTTGTGCTTTGATATCGTTTCAGCCCGCTCATCACCAGAAGCAAATGTTTTTGTGAAAGTATGACTTGTGCATGTGGAACTTTATTGTAAGTATTTAGGATGTGAAAAACTTTCTGAGCTGCCTTTATTTGCTTTTATAAACGGCATCATGTGTGAATTCACAAAGCCTTTGTGTTGAACGGTGGCCCAGACTGATTCATTCACCTTTTCCCAAAAGATCTACAGCTATCGATAACCAAATATTTCCGCCGTTTCATTAAATGTCACTTGATACCACATGTAGGAGAATGGGTATTTGGCCAAATGTGATTATTCCGCTAACAGGGTTTTTGTCCTTAAGTTCATAGAAGCTTTGAGGCTTTAGATTGTCCATGCAGTGATAGTGATCTCTGACAAAGAGATTCAAAATAATATGTTAGATCTTTGGTAAATTATTATGGTGGATTGTATAGCCTACACCTTTTATTATTTGCAGTTTGACTGATAATGTTTGCTATGCTTTTCACTGTTTTCACTCATTTTCCTATGAGATTTCCGTTTTATTTTCCACTGTGGGAGAGGATTATATATGTACATAAAGTTTTATTTTGAAAAAAGAGAAAGCGTGGAGGCATATTGAAAATAAAATAAACAGTGGCACTTCTTGTGTGCGATAACATCAATTTTGTCTTTATTGAAAAAAAAGATTTAAATGGCTGCATTTTAAGTCACATTTTTATTATTGCAATAAATTATTGGCTGCTAAAGTGTCTGCGTAAGAGCTCGAGGGCTGTACGGCTCCGTGCGTGACTCTCTCTCTCTGCGCACAGGTCAGCTCGGGTCTGCTTCACCTCTCTCTGAAGCTTCAGGACCACAGCCTCATTTTCTATCCGAGCTGCTTTTCCCAGTCTGTCTCCTTCAGATTTGCATTGCGCTTGTGCTCTTTCCAGTTCCCACGCGAGGTTGGAGCGCTCCTGCACTATCTGCTGCACGTCCTCTTTTGCTTTGCTCAGACTTGTCTTCCACCTGTCTGCCTCTTCTTCCGTTTCCCTGACCTGTATAGTCAGCTTCTGTAACTGAGCGTTCATTTTTTGGCTCTCTGACTTCAGATCATTTATCATGAGGGCCTGACGCGCAGCCCTTTTTTTGGAAAGGCTTAACTGTTCCTCCAGCTTCTCCACCAGGCCTTGCAGCTTCATCCTTTCCTCATGTTCTGCCTTAAGCTGCTCCTCTGAACAACTGAGCTGTCGCTTTAGTCGCCATCTGTCCCTCTCCACTTCTTCTAAACCAGCCCGCAGTTTGGTGATGTCCCTCTCATTCCAAATGCACCTCTGTCCCGCAGTCTCGCTCTGGTCGGTAGGATTTTCAGAGGTCTCCCCTTCATCGACAGGCCTAATAATTCTCTTCGCTAGGGCCTCCTTCTTGCGCAGTCGCTCAGTTTGCTGAACCTCTTTCAAAGCTTTCAGGTACATCTCCCTTCTGTGGCTCCTCTGGGGTTCAGCTATGTCTGTGGAGAGGGCTGATGGTGGGTTCATTGAGCTACTGCATTGTTTGTTTGTGTTGGTCTGGCTTTCTAGCAGGTTTTGGAAAGTGAAACGAGGAGGGAAGATTTCCTCCACCCAATGATGGTCATCTCTGGAGCTGGACTCGTGTGCAGTGTTTTGATCATTCATTTCCACGGTCCTCGTAACTAAACTGTTTGAACTTCATTAAAACGTGAAGAACAGCGTACTATTTAAGGGCACTTAATTTGCAAGCCCCTCTTCTTTCACCAGCTACAAGCAACCGCAGGTCGTTTAAAGCCGTTAGAGCTTTTTTTTTAATGTCCGGCATTGATGAAACGTGCAAAATTGTAGGTATGAGGCGATTGTATATACATTTTATATTAGCGGTTCATACTTACAACAACATCGTTGACTACGGTCTCTGTCGGCGCAACTTCCTGTTTTCATGCAGGAGAGCGCGACGAACACTTTGCGCCCCCTGCTGGTTGAGTTTAAACGCTTGTTGCATTCAATTACCTATGCAAGTGTGTTTTCCATTTGTGACCCTGGACCCCAAAACCAATCAAAAGAGTCAGTTTTGTTTTTTAGATTTATACATAATCTGAACGCTGAATAAATAGGCTTTCCACTGATGTATAGTTTGTTAGGATAGGACCATATTTGGCTGAGGTACAATGGTTTGAAAATCTGGAATCTGAGGGTGCAAAAAAAAAATCTAAATATTGAGAAAAATATACATACTTTCCAGAAGGCCAACAATTCACTAAAAATGTTTTTTTTATTGGTCTTATGAAGTATTCTAATTTGTTGAGATAGTTAATTGGTGTTTTTTTGTTAAATGTGAGCCACAATCACCACAATTAAAAGAACCAAAGACTTAAACTACTTCTGTCTGTGTGCATTGAATTGATTTAATACACGAGTTTCACAATTTCAGTTGAATTACTGAAATAAATGAACTTTTCCACGACATTCTAATTTATTGAGCTGCACCTGTATACAAAATATCTTCATGGAACATGATCTTTACTTGATATCCTAATGATTTTTGGCATAAAAGAAAAATCAATCATTTTAAGGCTATTGCTACAAATATACCCGTGCTACTTATGACTGGTTTTGTGCTCCAGGGTCACATTTGCGTTGCCTTCAGCTTGCCTTGGAATTTATTTTAAATTTGTACAATTCTTTGCATATAAAATACCGAGAAACTTGAGGGCTTATATTTGTATTTGCTTAAGTTTAAAGCTAACAACAATAAATGAGAATTTAAATTAATTTAAATATGAATTTTGATGAAATGTAATATAACACCTGCTCAAAACGCATTAAGCTCAGAGTGATTAGGTAGATGTCTAAAACGTTTTGAATATTATCTGGGAATTGTAGCTGTTTTAAATTAAGTGGAAAGCTGAAAGTGGGATTAATATTAAGACAAAATACATTTTAGAGATTAATTTTAATTTTCAGGACTAATTCAGAAGATCATCTTCATTCATAAACATACAATTGTTTCTTAAAAATACATGCAAATTTTTGTATTAAATTGTATCAGAGTTTAATTACATGTACTTCAGTGTACTGTCATTTAGTTAAAAAATATCGAAAAAAAGATTTAGTTTACAAACAAGTAACATCATTTTCAAGCCAATGTTTCTAGTTTAATCTGTTAGTCAGCAACTGTCTTAGCATAAGTAAATGCATACACCCTGACTACATACATATTTTCACGCTGATCATTTTCTTTGTGCCTTGGAGAGAGAAAAGTAGGTTAAAGTTCAAAAGCTCAGAGATTTCCTCCTATTTAAAGAAGAGAGTGGTAACTTGCAGATCTTTATTCAAAACGGTGTTAGAAACATGTTAAAGTTTCTAAACAGTGTTTAGTATATATAAAAAAAGGTTTGATAATTGGAGTGCATCCACTTTTTAATAAGCATTCTTGAAAATAAACACAAGATGAACCCGTGAATAAAATGACACGGGAATGCTGGGAGAAATGCTCTTTGAAGCCTAATACAATAGTGCACATACATACCACTTTGGAATAGTGGGGGATGAGTGAACCGGGGTCAGAGGTCACCAAAGCCTTCTGTCTCTCACTGACCATAGGATTTATTCCCATGAAGCCAGAGTGTCTTACATTCAAACTATTTTTAGCAGATTTTTTGATGACATGCAATGTCTTGAGGTTTGCATTCCCAGGATTCCCACCGGTTTTGATGAGCAGTTATTTCAAGAGCTAAGACAGATAATCAGAGGGATTTTGTGCAGATTTTCCATCACCCCCACCCCCAACAAGAAGAAAGGGATGCTCTACAATTACATGCATGACATAACATTTTGTTGTCTGTCTTGATTGGCGACATGGGTTGAACATGAAACATCTGCACAGTAAGGTATTGAAACCTTAAGGATAAAACGCCTTCACCTCATACTTCACTTCTGCCATGATCAGGTATGTGGACTATTAAATTTAATGCACAAATGTGACCCTGGACCACAAAACCAGTCATAAGTAGCACGGGTCTATTTGAAGCAATAGCCAACAGTACATTGTATGGGTCAAAATGATCGATTTTTCTTTTATGCCAAAAATCATTAGGATATCAAATAAAGATCATGTTCAATGAAGATATTTAGTCAATTTCCTACCGTAAATATATCAAAACCTAATTTTTGATTAGTAATACGCATTGCTAAGAACTTAATTTGGACAACTTTAAAGGTGCTTTTCTCAATATTTAGATTTTTTTGCACCATCATATTCCATTTTGTTTTAAAATATTTGTATCTCAGCCAAATATTGTCCTATCCTAACAAACCATACATCAATGGAAAGCTTATTTATTCAATTATTTAAAATAAATGTGACCCTTAATGACTATTTTTGTGGTCCGGGGTCACAAATGTCTGTGTTAAATAAATGCACTATGCATTATGACCAATTGCATTTGTTCATATTAAATTAATTATGGGTTATTTTGACATTTTATTCGCATTGCAGGGAAAACTACAACCTTGTTAAAATTTCTTTCCTCCCCAAAGTGTCCTATAGGCAGAGGCGGACAAAGTACTCAACTTCATTACTTGAGTGAAAGTACAGATACTGCTGGTCAAATATTACTCCATTACAAGTAAAAGTTGTAAAGACAGATTTTTACTTAAGTAAAAGTACAGAAGTACTTGCTTTTAAAAGTACACTAAATTTCCTTTTTTATGTCAATGCACTGTTTTATTATTGTTGTATGTAATACTTGCAATACCTCTGAAACAACTTACAATACAATACACCTATTGAATACACTGACTCGCTTGTAGTATCTTTGGAATAAAGTGCTTTTAGAATGTTAAAAACCTATGGGGGAAAAAAAAATGAACACCCCTACCCACACAAAAGCAGGATGGTAGTGATCTCACACAGCTCTGACAGTGTGCACACATCTATGTGTAGCCATTCATCCACATTTGAACAGAGTGGACAGTGAAATCCTGTAAATACAGAGTGATAAGGAAAAAAAAAATCAAACCTGCTTTAAAACCCAGCAACACAACTGTAGCTGTATAGCTTTACAACAGCAACACTGCTTTAACAGCAAGACTTATTTAACATCAAAATAAAAATTTAAAAAATACTGTCTAATCGCTCTTGCTGTACTTTGATGTCACACACAGAATGGTCTGTGCACCTTTTGTGTTTTATCAGGAGATGCAAAACAGTTCTTCTGTGGCTTTATAGGTAATATTTTCACTTACACAATTGAGCAAAATCAGACAATATTGTGTCTAATATATACCACAATATTAACTTCTTATTATTGAATTGTTGTAAATAAATATCACATTTGCAACTGGTCAGTGTTCAAAAAATGCTGGGAAATCTCTTCTTGTTGCCCCAAGAGGGATTACTGATAAACTGTCTGAAAAAAAAAGGAAGTCACGTTTTAGAGAAGAAAAAAAATCACCCACTGACTTTCAAAGCTGCTGCATAGTAACAACTTTCTACTTTGAGGACCCTGATAGAAATCTAGTGAAAAGTACAATATTTGTCTTTCAAATGTAGTGAAGTTAAAGTCATAAGTTCCCAGAAAAAATAATACTCAAGTAAATGTACTTAGTTACTGTCCACCTCTGCCTATAGCCCTGTAGTTTTTTTGATTCTATATAAATTTGCTTGCTTACGCTAGTCCCAAGTAAAGCTTCGCCAAGAAGAACATTAATATAACAAATCGTAAACACTTTCTTATTTAAATCAGTGCCGTAATTGCTTTATAAATCCTCAATGCCAAAAAATACAAATGATCGGTCAGACCAAATACTGTGAAAGTGGTAAATGGATTCTAGGATATAGGAGAGCGGATGGGATGTGAGTCGTGGGGGGATTGAGTGAGTGGAGTTGGGGAGGAGGAGGCTCGCGAGGCCCATCATCACATGACGAGACGTTCGCGCCTCTTTCGTAAACCTTCTCCAACCTGATGATCCTAAACAACTCGGAGGTTACGCGCAAGTTTAACTTCGGCGGAGGCCTAAAACGCGTCCTAAAGCGTCAACTTACTGGCGTCGTGACCAGCGTTCAGGCGTGGGGCTGTGCTGTGGCGAGAAATGATTGTGGAAACTTTGAAATTGTGACAGTGTTTGTCGGTGGGACAGGCTTTGTGTGTGAGGAGCAGCTGGGGAGCTAACAGACCATGTTGGAGATGGATCAATTAATGGACTCTTGAGCGCTTAGATATTATATTTGGAGGTGTTTGGTTGTCTTGGCTAAGCACATGTAAGTGAAATTCGTTTGTAAAATAATGATACTAGCAACCTCTGACGACTGTATCAGGGAAATGTAATGTGTGACTATTAAAGTCATTCGTTCTGATTATTTTTGGAAAGGAAATGAACAATTACGCCCGAGTTTACACGATTTGCTGATTAATATTTAACCCGTGTTACTAAAAGTTTGTGTACAGGCGAGTTATAACTTAACGTTACCCTGCTGAGTAAATCGGGACCCTGTTTTAAACTTCTCTCTACTTTTATCATTTTATAAAGACTGCAAAACCTGCGTTTGACGCTTAAAAATGTCTTTATTCTGTCTTTTGCGTTTATTATCTAAATACAGTGTTATTTAACGTTACATACGCAAACTCATACTTGAAAGTATTGGTGTATTTCACGTGGCTCCGCAGTTCTCCATAGCAAGGGTCAGTCTATCAAAACACAAACTTAAATTGAATTAAAGACGCATTGTAACTCAAACATAGCCAAAAAAAATAGCCACTGGCGACCGTCGTTTAAAACCTCCTCAAATGTCCTCACACTTAACCCAGTTTTGTTGTTGTTTTCAGCTCGTATAGATACTAGGAGTTCATTTCCTGCTGAAAACACCCACTCTCATGTAAACAAGCTTTTCATCTGCTTTGCTTAAATTGTAGCGTAATAAACACGTTCTATCACTGAAGGGTCGATTAAACT